TGGCAAAACGTTCGCCAGCAGAATCGACCGCCGCGCCGCCGAAGGGAGTGAGTCGAGCTCTGGAGGGAAATCTCGAAATTACGGGGCATGGGACCTGACGGGGCTTGTCTCCCGGCCCTCGCCTTGCCCCCAGCTTCTGCTGCACATGCTAACGCTCTGCGAGCACGACGCCTAATGAGGGCGGCGTTCGCGTCAACTAAACCTACGTCTGGACACCGCCCCAACATCCCGCCCCAAGCCCGCTCCGGCGCACCCCCCGGCCAAGATGTCAGCACAAGCGTTGTCAGAAGCGACAGAACGGCTTTTCCCTAGAACCGAGCTGGGCAACATCTTCATCCTAGTGAGACGGAGCCCACTGGATCTGGCTGGGCTTACTTCTCTTGCGCAAGGCCAATCGGGTCATGATCCAGAAGTCCTCGCTGGCCCCCGTCGGGTCAGGGCTCCGAAGCCTGGAGGCCCAGTTCCTGGCCAGGTTCCAGTGTCCCATGACAAACGTGAACACAATCTTTGGGACGAGCTCCAGAGCAAGACAGAAGATCAGGACTTCGGCTCGGGGAACAATCTGCACCTCACCCACCAGCGGGGCCGCGAACGCCGCTGCAACCGTCCACCCCCTCCGAGATTTTGGGCCAAGCCAGCGATCACTGCTCCGCAGCGTCGCCTTCTCAGGCATCCCGAGCGCTCGCCTCCCGAGCCGATCCAAAAAATGCCTACTTCGCCTGGCCCTGTGCATTCGGCGAAGCCAGGCCTATAACAACTGCTGGAGAAACTGGCGACGAGGCCCCCATGGAACTCAAGGCGCGTGAGAGCCAAGGGCCGGAGACCCCGCCGCCAGCACGAGGGCTCGAGGTCCATCTGCGCCAGGGCCTGCGGCGCGAGCTCCTGGGGCGCGTCGAAGTCCTCGCGCCCGCAGCATGTCCAGCAACGTAGTGTTCCCGCGGCCTCCTCGCACAGTGGGCAAAACGTGGTGCTCACCAAGTATCCAGCACCCTTTCATCTGATTCGAATCCATTGGCCCCCTGCCACCACGACCACGTGCAGTGCGCTCGCGCTGGGGTCTGCATCTCGATGAAATCCATGCTGTCCCCGTCGCATGCGCCAGACGGCAGCGCTTCCTAAAGTCCATCCACCTGTTCGTGACGGGCGGCCTGCTGTCAATGCAACTTCTGAGCGGCGTCCGAGATGATGTCTCCGAGGACGGCCACGCGCCCCCAATCCTGCGCATCATCGCCGTAGCCGCTGCTGGGAACAAGCTACTCTTGAGGCTGTCCGCCTGGTAGTCCCACCAGCCCTTTGGGCGTGAGTGGTTTAGCGAGCTCTCTCTGTCCTCAACCCCCCTTCTTCCCCTTCGGGGAGGGGTTTACCCCTCCCCCTCCCCCCTCCCCCTGGGCCTGGAGAGGGGGTCCGGCGGGTCGTCAGGGGGGTCATTTCGACTCCTGGGAGGGCTAAAAAACGACGACCCTCACGAGGATTCTGGCCCCGACGGGGGGACGGAGATAAGTCCCTCTCCTCTTCTGTGAAGCCAAAAACATTGATTTTACTATGGTGTTGGCCCCATTTTGGACTTCTGAGGGGGCAGCGCTCATCGTCCTTCATAGCAAAATCATTGATTTTACAAAGGTTTTGGCCTCATTTTGTCCTTCTCAGGGGGTAGCTCTTCTTTGCGCTTCTGAGGAGGTCGCAAGAGGCCCCAAGATGGCCCCAAGAGGCCCCCAGGAGGCTCCCAAGAGGCCTCCAAGAGACCCCCCAGAGGCCCCCAAGCGGCCCCAAGAGGCCCCCAAGAGGCCCCCAAGAGGCCCCCAAGAGGCCCCAAGAGGCCCCAAGAGGCCCCCAAGAGGCCCCCAAGAGGCCCCCAAGAGGCCCCCAAGAGGCCCCAAGAGGCTCCAAGAGGCCCCCAAGAGGCCCCACGAGGAGCCCGAACGACTCACACCAGGACGAGGGGCCCGAACGACTCACACCACGAAGAGCCCGAACGACTCACACCACAAGGAGGGGCCCGAACGACTCACACCAGGACGAGGCGCCCGAACGACTCACACCACGAGGAGCCCGAACGACTCACACCACGACGCGGGCCCCGAACGACTCACACTACTACCACTTCTACCTCTACAATTACTACTTCTACGCATGGTGGTACGGCCACTACTACTACCTACCAGTACTACTACTACTACGACTACTACTATTCGACACCCCTCACGAGAATTCTGGCCCCGACGGGGGGGGGAGAAAAGTGCTCGCCCCATCTGTGATCGATCGCCCGACAGATGGCCCAAGATTCCTCCCAGACCCCTCCCAAAGAGTCCCAAGAGGCCCCAAGAGGCCTCCAAGAGGCCCCCAAGATGCCCCCAAGAGGCGCCCAAGAGGCCCCAAGAGGCCCCCCCGAGGCACCCAAGGCGCTCCTGGAAGCCCCTGGAGCCGCCAAGGGGCACCCAAGACGCCCCAAACGGCCTCCAAGAGGCTCCCAAGAGGCCCGAAGAGGCTCCCCCAAGGCACC